CGCCTCAGGACGGCACAACCTCCACGAACACATGTCGTACCATATTTTTTTCTTACTCATGCACATGCTCAACAAGCATTTACCACGCTCAACTGACCAATCACACGTGACCCGTGCACGCATTAATTCACACACAATACATACTCAATAAGCATTTGACATGGCCAATTTTGACAATTAAATTAGACTGGCCCAAACATGCACCCAATAAGCATATTACGATCATGTAATTTCACAACCATGCATTCAATTTTATCACCACAACTCAGTTGCAGTTCCAATGCACATTAAACACAAAATTGCCATTTTTCTCTAACCAAACGGCGTCGAATCAACTCCAGCCCTTCATGACACTTTCTCACAATTAATTGCCGGTTCTAAAAATCCAATTTGCATCCCGATCGGCCCATCACAGCCCATTGAACAGTCACTCACAGCCTACTGTTGTCCTCAAAACCTCCATTAAAAATTTCCCGAATTCAATCCTAGGCCCGCCAATTGATTCTACTCCTAATCCGTACAATTCCATATCCAAATAAACCCGATTTCAATTAAAACTACCCGTCGATACCCAATATCCTAAGTCGGGTTTAGAGCGCGACTTACCTAGTTCTAGACTATCGCGGCTAGAACGGAAAGCGGCGGCGAACGGCGAGGGGACAGCGACGAACGGCGGCGCGGCTTGGCGGCTTGGACGGCGACGACGGTGGTGATCGGTGGCGGCCTTTCCTTGGCCGTGGCTCTCGGCCACTTAAGCGGGAGAGAGAGAGAGAGAGAGAGAGAGAGAGAGAAGAGAGAGAGAGAGAGAGAGAGAGAGAGAGAGAGAGAGAGAGAGAGAGAGAGAGAGAGAGAGAGACGAACGGCGATGAGGGGGTGATGGCGGTGGACGACGGCGATGGGCGGCGTGGCGCGGCGGGAGGGAGAGATGGCCGGAGAGGTGGTTTCGGTGGGGGAGGGGAGCCGAATGGGGAGAGAGAGTGTGGAGAGAGAGAAAGGGTCATTTGGACCTAAATAATGAATTTTGACCCAATTGCAAAAATGACCAAAATGACCAAAATGCCCCTCTCTAACCTTTTTAATCCAATGGTCGAGATTCGATCTAATCTTGAAATCAACGACCCGGATCGAATCTTACTAAAAATATCCAAGGGTATTTTGGGAATTTCATATAATTTTAAGGGCAAAATTGTCCATTCCAAAAAGTTAGGGCAAAATGACCAAAATGCCCTTCTTCCATAAAACATGCCCTTTACAAACTCTTAGGGGTAAAATGGTCACTTTCCTCATTTCTCATCGAAATCGAATTTTTCTGAAGGAATCGGGACAATCCAAAATTGCACGTTCCATCCGCAACGTCATCCTAACGTCCCGTTGTGACTTCCAAATTTTTCCGATGTCCAATTTGGGCTAAATTAAATAATCAAATTTTATTAAACGCAACTCGAGCATTTCTCAAACTAACGGGCGGCTTGTTGGGGAAATTCGCATATTCGACCCGTGACTGACAATTATTCAGGTCACGTGCAAGTTCATTCGGTTTGTGACGACTTTGGTTGTCATTAAAATCGCGAGGATCAATTACTAGATCCGAGGGACACGATCGTTTGGTATAAGTTCATGATCGTTCGTCAATTCATTTCGTAGTCCAGCGGAATCACCCGCGATCCACTACTATAACAGTGGCGAACTGACCCCTAGTTATCCTCGGATCGGCCAACAGTGGTTCAAAATGTCACCTCGACGATTTTATGGTCGTAAGTCATCCACGATCGAATTTTCTCTTAGTCGTACGAATTTAAATTTCCAGTCAGCCTTTCCCCAATGATTAGTATCCCAGGAATGATCAGTTCCGGGCGAGAATTTACTACGAGTACATTTCATAAAACTCAGTATTTTATAAATCCCAAATGGATAAATTTTCAGGATGTCACATTTATGCTATCATGGGGATTATAGTGATGAGAGAAATGTAAGTTGGGAAGTAGTTCAATGGAAAGGGCGTGTAAATAGTAACCTTTCGCATCTAATTGGGCATAGCATGGGGATTATAGTGATGAGAAAAATGAAAGTTGGGATTTAGTTCACTGGAAAGGGCATTTAAATAGTAACTTTTCGCATATAATTCGGCATTTGAAAAAAAGAGTAAAAAGATCAGGAGAAATCCTAAAATCAAGGCTTTAAGTAGGACATGACAATTATTTCATGGGGGTCTACTATTGTCATGAAAAAATTATTTTGATGGTCCTATATCTTAGAGCATGACATCAAGGACTTCATGATTCAGGCAAGTTTGCTTTCATGTATATGTATGTAGCGTGTCATAAGTCCATGACAAAAACCCGTGTTCTCCATTTTGGTTGTGTTAGTTATTTTTCCTGGTGGTTTGGGGATTTGTATTGGGTGTTCGACTACAACTTGACAAAGGCGACAGTTTGATTGATTGTTCCCATCTAAAGTTTCTGAGCGATTATCTAGTGAGAGCGGTGCATGTATATTAAAATGTGTTTGGACCGTCAAACATGATAGATCTCAATCTCACACCCATCAACATAATGTGCTGTTGCTAATTTTATCAAATGAATAAAGGCTGTTGTAATTGCTTCTCTTGGTCAATTAATAAGGCTAGTTTTTAAAAATTGCTGTTGCCCTGGTTACTCCCATTAAAATTTGCCCCTTCGAGAAGGACTCGTATGTAACACTTTTTCCATTGCATACATGAACCGGAGTTATTATTCAATATCCCTACCGGTATGAGGAATATATTATAATCCGAGTTAGTTAGCATATATTAAGATTTTAATCAACTCGAGGCCTTATTTGGGTAAACAGTCTTATAAGAAGAAAGCGAGGCCGTTCTATATTTCGTCCTTCCATATTTATGCTTCGATTTTCCAAGGTACTGCCTTAATGCTTTATTTGGGAAGGAGGGGAATAGGAGGAAAATGAAGTAAATTTTTGTAACTTTTGTGAGAAGACGTAAGACGGAAATTCAAAATTCTTCTCTCTTCCTTTCCTCCATGTATCCAAGCAAAGCACTTTTCCTTTATCACGATGGTGCTTGCTTGCTTGCTAACAAGATCTTTTTTGCATGGAACTTCTCTAGACATCCAATTGATGCACATCCGCATTATCCACAAGATGCTCCGATGAACAATCGATGTGTCCGTATATGTGGCAAAACATGTCATGGAGACGAACACGTGAAGTTGATCCTTGGAAGGCTGAGGTTTCACGTGACATAGCAACTCAGTCATCCAGATACTATTTGTTTCCTTCCTCCTCTAGCGTGTGCTGTCTATTTGTTTTAAGAGGAGGAGGATCTGATGGCACGAAGGAGATTATAGACCAACTAATGGACTAGTTTAAAAAGAAAGGGATTCTACCACACACAGCTTGAAACGAATAATAAGAGTAGTCCAATTAGTACATATCTAAAGTGCTTGGCATCATGGGCCTGGAATTTTTAATTTTGTCGTGGATTCTCTTTGCGGGTATGAGCCAACAGCTTTTGTAATCTCTTGAACATCGGAGAATCATAATCACATTCAGGTCCCCACATTCATATAAAAGAACAAGGTGAGCACAACACCTATTGGTGGATGAGGTGATAAGGGTTTTAAGGAAGTTCAATGGAAAACCCGTAAGAAGTTTCTTGTATTTTATGGGAGAAATTCATGGTCACTTCATGACCCTTTCAGGCGCGATTTGCCAAGTGATTTTCGTGGAAAAGGTCTTGAAATTGAAACTGAAACCAGCTCAACGTATAATATTTGAAAAAACGTTGCACCTAAATAGATCTGCTGTCATCCAAAATAAACCAAACATTCATTTCATCATTTAAATAGGCAACGCAAGAAAATATTTCACTAGCGGACTTTACACAACGACATACATGCAATTAAAGAACAAATGTTTAGGCAATGACCCATATTCGATTTTTACTTTTATTAAGCATTTCCATTCCATAAATGAATTAGTATTCTATTTGTTCAGGTAAACAGTTATCTAGATATAGTTGTGATTTCTTTACGTAAAAATCCTCTTTTGAAAATATCAAAAGTCCATCCTTATTGATTGATGTGGGACAAGTTGCGAACAATTTTCTAGAATGGATCAACCGACAAATGAATAAAGTTTAGCCTGACATTTATCAAAGTGAATAGATAAAGCTCGGCCTGCCATGAGTGAGAGCTACGAACAATTTAGTATAAATTATGTAGACACGTATTTTTCATGAGAGCAGGACGGGGCAATTACAGGTACAGGTGAAGAGCATATGCTGAAAATGCATTTGTCCAAGTCTTTAAGTTAGCTTGGGAACTGTTCATGTTAATCCTCCACAACCTCTAACAAAATTCACTACTAACTTCCCGAGATTCTCTGCTCAGCCACACCAATGTCCCAAACTCCTCGCACAGCTTGTGCTTCACATTTCTTTGCCCTTCCGTTTGCATTCAGCAACGTGATCGTGGGGTCATGCTCGCTTCACCTTCCCATTACAATTCCCCGACAATTCCACTTATTAATGGAAAAACAAGTCCAGTCGAGTCGTGCTGGATCTCAAATTTCAATCAGAACACCTGCATAGGTTCCATGCACCTTCGCATGATGCTGACGAAATTACGCGTGCAATAACTCAGCATTCTTAAGCTCATTGTTCAAGCACGCACAGTAGAAAAAGCAAGGACTAAGAGCATCTTTATTGCAAGTTGGTTTTCTTTTCTACTTTTTTGTTAAAAGAAAAAGCAAGTCAAGTCAAGAAGCACCAACATAGGTTCCCCGCAACTTCCGAAAAGTGCTGCGAATATTATGCGTGCAATAACTAAGCATTCTTTAAGCACTCAGCAATCAGCAGTGTTCAAGCGCGCCCAGTAGAGAGTGTTCTGTGTTGGCAATCCAACGTCCAAGGCTGAGGATTGGGGGAGATCACGGCAGTGGGTGGGTTGTTTTGTTTGAACACTCCTCAGGTAGTCGACGACTCTATGCCCTTCTCTGTTTCCTGCTCTGATTGCTCCATTTTCTTCTGATAAGTTGTCTGAGAGTTTCTATTGTCGTTTGAATGTAGATCCGAGTTTGAGTCCAGCGAGACATTTCTGCTATGCCCAGATCTGGGATTCCATATATCTCTCCTCTGTTTCTTTCTCCATCAATTTCTTTCACAATCCTCTCGAGATGAAAAGGAAAGAGCCCACTCGTTCAGAAGATCCAATCTACAAGGCGTCTTCCTCTTCGAAGTCTCCACATGTAGGTGATTATGAAGGCGGAACCAAAAGACCGAAGGGAAATGATTACGAAGTGTTCTTGAGCTTCAAAGGGGAAGACACTCGCAAAGGCTTCACCGATCATCTCTATCATAACCTTGACCATGCAGGAATTCGTGTGTTCAGAGATGACAATGAGCTCCGCGTTGGTGAGGAGATTGGTCCGGAGCTTCTCTACAGTATTACGAAGACTAAGATCTCGATTCCGATTATTTCGGAGAACTATGCTTCAAGCAAATGGTGCCTCTGCGAGCTGGCTGAGATGTTGAAGTGCAAGAGAAGTAAATGGCAGATAGTGTTGCCCATATTTTACAAAGTGAAACCCTCACACTTGCGACATCTTCCAGGGAGATTGGGAGATGCTATCAATGCACATAAAAAGAATATGGATGAAATGATTGTGAAGGGATGGGAAGAAGCACTCAAAGAAGTCAGCTCCTTGAAAGGATGGGAATCGGAGAAAATTGATAGCGGGTACCTTATTCTCCAACAAAACATTGTTTAATTTTTCATAAATAGATCTTTCTTGAAAAAGAATACACATATTGCTATCCTAGACTGATCTTCATTGTTATTTGACAGGCATGAAGGAACATTAGTTAAAATTGTTGTCAGAAAAGTTATGGGCGAGTTAAAAAGACTTTTTCAGTTAAATGTTCCCGAACAGTTGGTGGGAATTGATGATCATGTGCAACAGATTATGAGCAAGATAGATGCCGAATTCAATGGTACGAGGATTATTGGAATTTATGGAATGGGCGGCATCGGTAAGACAACTCTTGCAAAGGTGTTATACAACAAACTCTCTAGTCATTTTGACTATCGTAGTTTCGTGGCAAATATCCGAGAAACATCTCACAGTAACGGTATTGAATGCATACAAAAGCAACTCATTTCTGCCATAATAGGAAGTTCGTGTGATGTGTCTAATGTCGACGAAGGAGTCAGTGTATTCAAATCTCGATTTACGAGTAAGAAAGTCCTAGTTCTTCTGGATGATATGGATGATAGTACTCACTCAAATGCTTTGGTTGGGGACGGAAGTTGGTTTGCAGCGGGAAGTATAGTCATCATCACAACTAGAAACAAAAGCATTCTTGATGAAGGTAGGGCAGGCTACATGTACAAACTCAATGAGTTGTCTTTAGATCAATCATTGATTTTATTTAGTAGACATGCATTTCGAAAAGATTTTCCTCCGAATGATTATGAGGTTATCTCTCGTGATGTCGTATCTACTACTGGGGGGCTTCCATTAGCTCTTGAAGTTATAGGTTCTTTCTTATGTGGAAAGAAAGAAGTCGTATGGAAAGATACATTAAAGAAATTAAAGAAAGTGCCCAATAAGAAAGTGCAAGAGAAGTTGAAAATAAGTTATGAAGCATTAGATGACGAGGAGCAACAAATATTTTTGGATATTGCATGCTTTTTTATTGGATCACATAAACAAAATCCAACTTTCATGTGGGACGCCAGCAGTTTTCTCCCGGGGAGGGGGATTGAAGTATTGAGTCTTATGTCCCTAATTAAAATTGACGAATACGGCATTCTAAAGATGCATGATCAATTGAGAGATCTTGGTAGGGAAATTGTTCGTCTAGAAAATCCAAAGGAGCATCAAGAGCGTAGCAGATTGTGGATCAGTGAAGAAGCCCTAGATGTGATTAATGGAAACAAGGTAAGACTTTTCTCTACTTGTCTTAGTCAGTGAATATGGTTCCATCTTCGCATTCTTGTTTGAAATAAAAATTGTTGTGAGTCTTGACTCCCCAAAACTAGCTGCTTCTACTAGCAAAAGAGCTCTTTTGATTAATTATTGTCCTTGCCTGATTCTAGGACATAATTCAGGATCAATTTCTTGGTTATGGGCAATTGATCTATATCTTTACCTAGTAGTATGGTGATAAGGATACTCTCCTTTTGGTAATTTCAATGCTACAACAAAATTACAAAAGCATAATGTTTGACAGATTACTTTTAGAGAAAACCTGACATTTACAAATTGTTGCAGCCATGCTTTCCCCGCATATTTGTTTGATGCAAGTGTTTGATGTTTGGATTCGTCTTTTGGTTTCTTGTGAGGCCTTTTTTTATATTTTATTTTTACTACTTATGAATTATTTGGTGTGATAAACGAGACCTCCAATCATTGGTGATGATTTAGCTATCTAGGTTCCTGTACTTTTTAAGTTGGGTTAAGTGTAACACCTAAGTATTATTGGTTGTGCAATTTAGTCACCCCATCTATTTTTGCTTTTGCTCAATATAGTCCTCTAACTTCAACTTTTTTGTGCAATCGAGTCCTTTGTGGTCAACCGTTAGTTGACACCGTCAATTTGTTGATGTCGCTTTATATATGATTTATGAGCAACTGGGTAATATAGCCCTTTAAACATTTATTATTTTCATTGTATATACTTTTCATGACAGTGGATAGTTTCTTTTTATGAATCTGCAAATACCTTTTCTTTTTGTGACGGTGGATGATTTTTCTATTAATCTCCCGTTATTATTTATTTGCTATATATAGGCTATCATGTTATAATAATAATTTGTTTATTGTTCTATTCTTAGTGAGCATCTTCTTTAGCAAAGATTTAGTTAACATTAATAACATCATCTTATTTTTATGAAACGAAAACTAGTTTGGGGTAAATGTGACACGGATTTATCAGTTTGGGATTGTTTGTGACATGAAAATTAGTGAGGGGTAAATGTGAAACAAGTCTAGCAGTTCGGGATTTTTGGTATTATTAACTGAAATAAATGTGGTTTTGAATTTTGTGTGATGATTAATTTTCATTATTAGCATGAAAGTTAAAAGGTAATCGACTAAAAGCAATTATAATATGTGGATGATTTGTACAAGCATCAAACAAGCATGTGCAAATGTCATAAGTATCGTTAATTAAGAAAAACTAAATATAAACATTGGGATGCAAAACATAATGAAATAACAAGACTATTGAAAGAAAAATGCTACCAATGCTTTCCAGCGAGCATATATTTTCCACGAAAGAAAATGTAATCAACTGAATAGAACACTACTCAAAAGTGCAAAAAAAAAAAGGTATCCATGAATTTGTTGACAAAAATACAATAAATATACAATAAATATACAAGAAACTTATAATGTAAAAAGAAGTAGCGTCTCATTCGAAGGAATACAAGTTTGAAGGAAACGTTGAAACCACCAGACAAATCCGTATTATTGACTCTCATGATTTGCAATCAGGGTGCAATTCATTACCTAAAGCAAAAAACGAATTTGAGTTCCTAAAATATTGGGTTACAACAAAAGAAAAAAGTAAAAGACTGGAGTTCCTTAAGAATACAATTGTATCAATCTTCATGTCCAATCTGTTCATACGGAAGATCTCATTAATCTATGGGAAAATTGATCAAATTTAGATGACTACTACTACATTGTAACAAAATCAACACGACAACGAAAAGATAGTGTCAAACATCTATAGTAATAAAAAGAAAGTAAGAATCATGTATAGAACATTTGATATTGTCAATTTTCCTTCCACGTACAATGCAAAACCCTCAGCGAAGAAACACATGATAAGAAAGGAACGTAAAACACATGCGTACCTTTTGCAATGACATTCTCGTTTTCATTTTGATATTTAGAATTGCAAACGTAGTATACTAGAAAGAATGGGGGCATTCTACAATTTGGATTCTTTAATTTTGATACATGTTTTGATGGCAAGTTTGATGGATGCATTTGGACTGTTAGAGTCGTATTGGTTCACATATACATGATAGGAGTAAATGTAGTGTTATTTCACATATAAATGGCATGAATTTTCATAGATATATTTGAATTAGTGTATACATGAAGAGAGGCCATCTATTGTAATTGCAAATGGATGCAAATTTTGGGAATTCAGAAGGTGCAAATTGCGAAGGGCATAATTGGGAGAGGAAAACTTTGGGAGCAACCCCTTGAGCTTCTCATCTTTACATAGATTAGATAAATAGTATGCAACCATAACATGTCAAAAACAAAATTTAAAGGAGAAGCCTACGCCATGATAGTATGACAGCAAATTGAAATCATTGCATTTTATTTTACATCAGTTGATCTCATCTCATCATTTAAAACTAATGGTCCACAATGTTTCCAAGTTGCAGGGTACTAGAAAGATTGAGGCACTTTCTCTTGGCAAATGTGGTATAGGAAGAAGATACACAGCTGAACAATTTAAAGAAATGACCAACTTGAGATTCCTTCTAGCGGATGGTGCGAATTTCACCGGAGATTTCCAAAACTTACTTCCTAAATTAAGATGGCTTCGGTGGGCGGGTTGTCTCTCGGATTTTACTGCGGTCAACTTTCATCCAAAGAAATTAGTTGTACTCGATCTGTCATGGAGTGCAATTTCCGAGGACCGGGGAGGATGGGTTCCACTCAAGGTAAGATGTAAAGAAGGCATTGAAGTATTTTTTTTTTTAATATAACATTTTTTCTTGTACATATAACATCTGAAAATTGATTTTAATAATTCAACTAGCCGTTTCTCTTTAATTTTATACTATTGAAGGAAAACATGGCCCCCAATGAATGCATCGCACTTGTACATCCCTCAATTGATATGCTTAAAATACATTTATCTGTTGGCATGACCAAACCCTACTAAAAGAGACATTTAAAATTAAGTAAGACAACCGTGAAGTAGTCGGGAAGCATGGGTATTTTTTGAGGAATTCTAAAAAGTCAAAAACATAAGGAGTAGTGGAAAATCATAGGCTGCGACAATCCAATTATAATGAGATATCCATTCTTTCTTCCAGATGGCAACCGAGCTCAAAGTTCTCAACCTCAGGAATTGTCGATCTTTGAGAAGAATTCCCGACTTGTCTACTTTCGAAAGCTTGGAGATTTTAATTCTTGCATACTGTTCGAATCTGGAAGAGATTCATCCTTCTATTGGGGACATCAAGACCCTTGTTTCCTTGGATGCCTCTTATTGTACAATACTCAAAGCGCTACCGGCAGGAATAGGTAAAATGGTAGAATTGAGGGAGCTTCATATAAATAACACTAATATACAAGAGATTTCTATTTCGAGAGATTGTTTGATGAAGCTGAAGACTCTACGTGTCAGATGGTGTAAAGGACTTTTTCAACTTCCTAAATCTATGGGCTCCCTTGTCTCGTTAACTTTATTGGACTTATCTTATTAAGAAATTGAAGAATTACCTGAATCCATTGGTTCCATGAAAGAGCTCAAGACTTTAAATGCCAAAGGATGTAGACTGTTAGCCCGCATACCCAGCTCCATAGGCGAGCTAGCATCTCTACAAAGCTTGTCCTTACGTCGCTGCTCCTCATTGACAGAGATCCCAGACTCGATTGGAAAATTGGCATCATTGACTGAACTGAACTTAGGATACACATCAATTACGAAATTACCTAAAAGCATTGGGAATATGCCAAATTTGAGGATCTTGAAAATTATTGGAACTCACGTAACGGAATTGCCTGATGCCATCGGGAAGTTGGCAAAACTCCAAAGGTTGGGAGCTAGAGAATGCCGAAAACTAGAACGACTACCTAGTAATATATGCGAATTGGTTTCGCTAGAGGAGCTTTCTTTAGACTTTTCAGGCATTTCAAACATGCCAGAAAGCATTTCTAAGCTCTCTTCTCTCAAAAAGCTCAGTGTTGCATGTTGTGAAAAGCTTCGAGAAATACCAGAACTGCCCTCTGGCTTAAAAGATCTAGCTATCACCTGTCAGAGGCCGCCGTTGCCCAATCTTTCCCAGCTATCCCGTCTCAAGATACTCACTCTTTGTAATTGCCCTTGGCTTGAACGTGTCCCAGAGCTTCCTGTTGGACTATTGCAGCTAAATATTACAGATTGTGGAAAATTGAAAGCGTTCACGAATGTGTCAAACTTGAAGCACTTACCATATTTGGAACTCCACAATTGCTTTGATCTCGCAGAAGTCACCGGCTTGGAAGGTTCACATTGCCTATCCAACTTACCCGCAGGGCAATGCCCTAAGATATCTCAGGTTGATGGGATTGAAGATTCTTCGACGTTGATGAGCCCAAAGGCATCTCAACTCGATGGATCGCTAGATCTTTCCGATTCAAAGATTCTGCAGAGAATGGACGCCGGAGCAAGTTGCGCGAATTCAGTTGAAATCCAAGACCTTGATGGATCAAAATCCTCTCAAGTGTCGGATATCCTTAAGTGCACGTCCGCCGGACAATTGCAAGACTTTTCCAGTTTTAAATACCTGAGTAGCCTTTCTGTTTATGGTTGCAATAGTGTAACTGAAATTCAAGGCCCCGATGGATCAGAATCCTTGACATATTTGAGTATTGGCCGGTGCTCTTCCCTTAGATCGGTGGACCTCTCAAACATAAAGAATCTGCGGCATTTTTATTCTGAGCGTTGCAAAAATTTAGTTGAAATTCGAGGGCTCGAGGGATTAGGGCCCTTGCGATTTTTCCATATTGATGACTGCCCGTTTCTTAGACAATCACCGGACCTGCTGCGTTTAAGGCAATCATTCTGTTGAAGTGGAGGGTGGAGGTCGGAAGGAGGGAGGTGGTCTGGGCCAGTGGGGGGGGGGGGGGGGGAAGGATCACAGACAGAAGAAGGTGTTTCGGATCTCCTCCCCATTTTCTCTCCCCATTCCCTCATTTATTATTCATTCTTTTCTCTTCCTCTTTTCTCTTTTTTTTATTCCCCTCAACTTTTTTTTTTACTTAACCGTTTCGTTTTCTCTCTCATCATCAGTGCGCTCGAAGAGGAGAAACAAACAGAAGAGGAGGACAAGTTTTGGCGAGGGAGGTTCCACCGAGTGCTCGCTGTCTCTCTCCTGTTTTTCCTTCCCCCAAGGGGGGCTTCCAAATCGATGGTGCTCGCAGACCATTTTTGCCAAATTTCTGAAGGCTCGCCTTCCGATTTCTAGGAGCGGATCCAGATGGTTAGTCCTTTTCCTTTTGATCGAATCGTCCTTTTACTGGCAATTGTCCAATTTCTGATGCTTGATTCGCCTGCCTGTTTACTTCTTCTTCTTCTTCTTCTTTTTCCTCTAATGAAGGAAAGGTTGGGGTTCGATGATGTTCCTGTGGAAGTCTGATGGTTGCGCCTAAATATGTAAACAGCGAAGGGATGGCCTGGTGATATCCTTTCTGGAAGGGTACTTGTGTTTACTTATGAAGTGAAATTGCTTGATATCGGCGAGTCTTCATCACCTAAGTAGTACACAGTCAGTTTCCACCATAACCCCTTAGCTCTGGAGGAGACAGCAAACTCAATAGGTAGAAGTTGTCCAAAGGTTACCTGGTAACTTAACCAAAACATTTAACCAAGATGAGTTGTCGGGAAACATCTCCCCGATACATCAAGTCAACGTAAGATTGTGTGATGTTGAATCCTACCAAGAACACTAACTGGAAGTTCTCATCAACGAAGGACAGAAATAATTCTTTCAGCTGAGTAAAAGAATAATGCACAAAGCTGTGTGGATAAGCTGGATATTGTGGGACTATCTAGTAGGCAGTTACTAGCAAAATACTTTGAACTTGTACTTTTACAAGATGGACCCTCCCTTTGGAGTTGAAGTAACATATGTGATTGAAGGATTGGAAAATAGATGATATCCTTGGTCTATGATGACAAAGAGAGAAGGCACATTGTTTAAGTTAAGTAGTTTTATTTTGTTTTTTCGTCTTTTCAGGGTTTAGTGAAGATAGTAGTAGTCGGTGCTCCTCTTTGTTTTTTATTCTGGTTACTAGATTTGTTTTAGGATTTGAATTATGTTGTATAGAGACGGATAGGTATTTCCTTGGTGCCTCACTTATTATACCTTTTACATAACAAAGAAATCAGGGAGAAAAGAAATTGAGATTGGGTGCCAGAGGAGTGATTCATAATACTAATTCAAGGATTGATGTTCGTCTACCCACAGACAAACTAATATACAATTGATTAAAGATGAACTATGAGTATGGGTTGTACCTCTCCATTCTGTGGAGTTTCTCCCTTGCATGAACACAGCATGTGTTACGTTTGCTGGTGGCAAAAGGAATATTAAAAAAGCAGGAGCCAAGATTATTGTGTTCAGTCATCTGCCTAGTTCTTGGGGCATGAACTTTTGTCTTCCCAGCTCAAAGCACTCTTTGCCTTCCTCTTCAAATGATATAAAGGAGTCAAAATTATTTGATGACACTGATACTTGGATAATCATACTTGTTAAATTGTTTTTCCTGTATTTGGTTGCTCCCAAACTTTCGTGTAATAAAAAGAAGTATCTTGCACTCCTTTTTTAGGAGCAAATGGGATCGTTGAGGTTAACCTATGTCCAGGTATTTACCTTTTCATCTCTGCTTTTGCATGATAAGTTGGTGGAATTTTCGCTCTTCATTGATGGTGTTTCATTGTTATGCTACGCCGAATGCTGATAAGTTCCTCTGGATTAGTCAGAGCATTATGAATAGTGGCTGTTAGTTATATCTATACAAGATTATTACATTGAAAATCGTTTTTAGGATTGCCATCTGTATAGGATGCAATCAAAAAGATGGAAGTTGGTCACCTCAAAAATCATTCCCAGCTGGGATCAGGAGTAGGATCATTGGATATGTAGAATGGGATTCCTAATCCCAGTCCCAAATATCCTACTTTGCCTATTTAATTAGGACTCAACATCATAGTAAATGAAATTAGGCCCCTGTTCTCATTGTCCATGACCCATTGTGCGTCTAAAACAATATCTAAAGGCCAAACCTGCTAATTAGGGCTAACTTTGGGGATTGAACTATGAGGGGATTATAAATGAGATTGAGGTGTTGCTCTCATCCTGAATTAGATTAGATGGAAGATTTAATTGGTGGTTGTGGCAAGGCTGAAGATACTTTCTATACAGACTTGGGTGAATCCATAAGCTTTTCACTGGAGTAAGAATAACTTTTTATTGCTGGAGTTGGAAGTGGGCTCTATCTTCATGAGAGCTTGGGCTGGGGTAATGGAAGGTCTGCTGTGCCTCCACAAACAGCAGTGCAGCACAATGCGAACACCTTTGTACAGCAACCATCTCTTCTGGCTGGGGACGGAATTCTTTTTTACGTCATAGCATATAGCTCTTTACCCTGTTTATTTCTTTCATCCTCCTGTCTTCTTCTTTTCAGTGCCATCATCTGGTTTTGCCATTGTTTTATTCTCTTCTATACTTTTGGCCCAGATGCTTCTCTAGTTAACTTTCTTTAAGAGGTAGGAGAGCTTCCTCAGTGATGTGTTTCTGCTGTGGTGATGCTCCTGCTTTTGTCTTCTACTTTTGAGCTTCATTTCCTCTTTTCAAAGATAACATACAGGTGTTAGCACAGAAAAAAGATTAAGAATCTATAACTTTAGACCTTAATTTTCTGTAGTCTTATGATCATTGATTCAAAGTATTGTCCAATTTCAATCATTTCGGATCAATCTTAACAACCTTTACCTTAAGGGTTAGATTTTATGCTGCAGGGATTGCCTCCCATATGTGTACTGATTAGATCATGAACAGTCGTTTTGTGTAGCTGTGACATACCATCTATGTATAACTATTTAAAAAACGAATGTGCTTGCCATATCTATGTAGGAATTGGCTCTAGGCAATCTGTTGGGATGCAAGATCTCAGGCCTGGTGCTTGTGCTCTAGAATCTAGTATGGTGGAAACCTCTAGAATCTAGTGCTGTGGAATCCTCGTCAGTTTCTCACCTTGTGTTTCTGGATTCTCTCCCATGATTGACCCAAATTTTTACTTCCTGTTCCCCTACTCATGTATGATACACATTACATTTTTTTTTTTTTGGTAAGGGACACATTACATTTTTTTCATGTCTAGTTCATGTTATGTTTCATGATATGTCCTTTATGGGGATATTATAGTGCTTGTGCTGTTTGCAAGTTTTCAATTGGCTGGGATCCTCTTCATAGAGATACCCGTATTTGTATTGCACCTTGCTATTGTCCCTTTTGGTTCCTTTATTGACCATATTTTCATTCTAGAGTGACAAGTTTTCCATGCTGTTAATCAAATAGTTCAAATCGAAGTTTTAATTGTGATCTAGATGTAATAAAGTCATTGACTTGATTGGATAGTGACCAACATATCGCTGTTTTCTTATCAACAGGCTGTGATAGCAATGGTGCAGCAGGCTATGCAATATGTTGACCAGACAACTAATCTTGAGACCAAGATAGAGCTTATGAAGACACTTAACTCTGTCGGCGTTGGTAAGGTGAATATGTGTAATCAAACTCTATTACAGCTTATATTCATCAGCAATCTGTTTTTGTTTCGTAGTTTCTATAGCTAGATTTGTCATGCCAAATATATGTCGAAATTGAGGTTGATCAAGAAACTTGCAAAAATAAAGGAAGAACAGGGTCTTATAGCAGAAGCTACTGATTTGATGCAAGAAATCGTGGTAACTTGAATTTGACTTCTGTTGTCATGTAATTGGTTTTTCCTTGTCCAACATTCCTGTGATGGGTTTGAAATGCAGGTAGAAACTTTTGGAGCGATGGCAAAGACAGAGAAAATTGCCTTTATTTTTTAACAAGTACGGGTTTTTTGTATTGCTTTTAGCTGTTTATGCACTGTTACTATGATTGGTTTTCTGATCAATGGATTTTTCAGGTTCATTTGTGCTTAGATCGCCAGGATTATGTCTGTTCACATATCCTTTCCAGGAAGATCAGGTCCCTGAGTGTTTGATGCAGATCCTTCCAAAGAGAAGAAAAGGCCTAAAGAAGGTGAAAACATGGTCGAACAAGCGCCAGCTGATATTCTGTCACTTCTGGAGTTGAAATGGATATACTGTGACCCATGATACGATAAATTTGCGTTTTGCTTTTTCTAATGTTGTGTCCACTATCTTTTAACTAATTTGTTTTTGCCGATCAAGCGCCACCTGGTGTTCAGTTTGTGGTTCAAACCACGAACTCGTATGGCTTTATATATCTGGCACATACTCCTCTTCGTTTCTAGCTTTATCGCAACTTTGACGTTCCAGATGTACTTTGTAGATTTGAACTCTCATCTTAGTTTACCCCACATTTTATGTGGTTCATGATGTAGGCATAGGTAATACTCACGTAACAATGATTACCTTGAGATTTGTTGATACTATAAGGCGACATATGAGATTCCATCAGTGAAGTGCAACCCAGAGCAGGGAATCCGATGAAGCTCTTTCCTTGTTAAGTCTTCACTGAGATTTTCAAGGCTCAGCTGTTCATTCTGTGATTTAATTAAATGCAGGTTCTAAGGAAAATCTGCTGGTACTTAGTTCTATAACCACATGGTCCTATGCAGTCAAGCCTTCTTAATGCCACTTTAGAGGATAAACATCTATCAGAAATTCCCCAATTCAGGTACCATCTTTGAATTGTTCTAGGCAATTGGTTGTACATTTTGCAATATCTCAATAATGTGCCATAGAATTTGGTCGACCATGCCTTTGATATTTTAACGCAGGTTGCTGCTGAAACAATTGGTCACAGTGGAGGTTATCCGACGGACTCCTTTTTAAAGTACTTTCAAAGATGAATTTGAGAATGAGAAAACATGCTAGGAGATGCACTTGTTGAGAAGGCAGCAGAAAATCTTAGACAGGGCCCGATCATAGTCAAAAGAAGAATTTTGGCTTCTCTTGGGCGAGACAAGCTAACCTTTAGCTAGGAGCCTCTTCAGAGAATCATCAAACATGTAATTACAGAACTTGTCGTTTTTCTTCTTTTCATTGGATCACCATTCAGATGTGACTCACTCTACTTTCTGCAGAATAGTATCGTTGTTTTGAAGTATTGCTCGAGGATTACCCTAAAGAGACTTGCAGAGCTGTTATGCCTCAGAATCCAGGTCTGATTATGTGGAACATTTGTTTATTTTCTTTATCAATGTCACTCTTTATGAATGATTGCCTAGACCCCTCATTTAACCCTGAGAAGCCTCTCGGCCTGTGATCCCTGATTGGGGCATGGTTGCTGGACTTGGATACAAGTTCCAAAATCTGTAAAAGAGTTTTGGTGCACCAAAGGCTTGTCATGGATTTGAGAATGTTGTCTTCATAGTTTTGTTTTGTACACTTGGCTTAGTCAACTTCTGCTCTTAAATTTGTTGTAGCTGTGTCATAGTCTGGCATTGTGAAACCATTTCTTGTGCCGCGGAGCCTGAAATTCTAATGTACTTTAGAATTGTGGAAGGAGCTCTGCTATATTGCTAGAAATGGCTGAGACACTCACCATTTCCTGTGTTACAAAAGTATATCTCGCTAGAGATCTTGATTAATGTGTTCAGAAAATCTTTGTAGCTGAATCACTCAAGGAAAAGGGCTTTGTTTTTGGGGTTCTCTTACTGCTGTTGTTAAGAGCTTTAATCAATCACATGCCTCAATTTATTAAATCAATACTATCATCTGATAGACAGTCCATTTAATGATAATTATACGAGCTTGTATGATATTCTATCAGCATGACCTCTTGCTTCTATATTACCATTTTAGGAAGCTGAGACGCATCTCTCCTTAATGGTTGTTTCCAAATCCCTGATGGCTAAGATAGACCGACCAATGGGAATTGTCAGTTTCCAAATGACAAAGGACAGCAATGAGATTTTGAACTCAGGGGCGACAAATTTGGGAAAGCTGCTTGACCTTGTCGAGAAAAGTTGCCACCAAATCCCCAAGGAAACCGTGGTTCATAAGGATGCTTTGAGGGCTCGAAGATGTTTAGTTGAATGAATCATCTCTCTCCCCTTGAGCCTCTCTCTCTCTCTCTCTCTCTCTCTCACCGAAGAATGCTGTTTCACATTGTGGTCTGAAGTGGGGACTGGCGATATTCATCATAGAACTCTCCCGTAGCTGTCTTAAATTTGATTGCATATTTTGCAGGGGGACCAGATTTGGGCCTTGTTTCGGACTGAAATGATATACTGAATACACTTTCTGGATAGGAATGTTGTTTGGTCTTTTCATCTTTCTTCTTTCCTCTTTACCCCCTCCTTTTAATTGAAGATTTGTGGGCTTTAAGGGTCCAGAACTTGTACCAATGGGAAACGTGTCAGCACATGCACTCATTTGGATTGAAATAAGCGCCTTGTTACAGAATTGTGTTTCGCATTACAAATATTGTCGATGCTTGTGTTTTTCTAACAGCGGGAATAACATCAGCTCTCTGAAGAGTAAAGCTACTTTTCCATTTCATTTCACATCCAAAATGGGCACCTGTTTCTAGGGAGCTTCATTTCTGTAAGAAAACTATACTTTTTATTTCCTCAAATGATGTTACTTTTCTCCAAGTTGATAATTGATACGGCGTGGACCTTGTCCTATAGATTTCCGGTTCCAACTTTTTCTTTATGGAAACTGAAAAGATTGGGAAAAGCTGTCTTCACGTCAACTTTTGACCGTGGAAATAGTTATGCCCACTTAAGTACAAAGCACAATTTCTATGGTGAAAAGTGCAACTTTCTTCACAAAGTAAATGTATTTATCATTTTATTAAAGAACACGAACGTCAACTTACTTAGCATAAGTTAGACAGAGAAAATTAGTAATTTTCAATGTACTAACCTTTCTTGTTATATGTGCCGTCAATACTTTGGAAATTACATCAATCATCATAAGATACACTTGAAAGTCATTCTTGAGGTCCGCATTAGCATGATCAATTATTTATGAGAAGTAAATTGTTTTTTTCTTAAAAATTTAGTTTTTAGTTTAAAGGGACTAGAAACATGTTTTAGTGTAATTGTCAACGCCTTATTTGTAGTGTAGGAAAAATTAGACGTAACGCAAAAAATCAATTTTTCGGCCATTATTTGACGGTCTCTTTTCGCCACTTACTAAAACCAATTAAAATTCTGAAAAAGAAAAAAAAAACTACTACTATAAAGCATTCAAAACATTTTGTTGGACAAAAATTAACGTAAGAAAAGGTTTGTCGTGTTCATTACAGTAAGGGTGGATCGTATGCTTTATGAAGAAACCGCCATTAATTTTAGTCCACAATTTTAGCCCAATTGGAGTGGTACCAATTTGAAAACCCTAATTTGTTTTCCCTTTTCTTGTTTTTTTTACAGAACATTTAATCCCATCTTCCTTTTTTCTTTTTATACAATTCTTCCGTTTTCAATTACTTTTTCTTTTTTTTACTTTTCCATCCTATGTATGGTCATTTTAAAGGGGCCTACATTACAAGTCAGCATTTCGACAATTCACATCAATAACATGATAAATTTTAAAAAGTAGAGATAGCCTTTGAAGAAAAAAACAGGACAAGAAAGTCGAGGGACTAAAGGCGATATTAACCCTTCTTTTAATTGAAAATTTATGTTCTTATTTTTTGGTATTACGCGGATCGTTCTCCTATAAAAAGTATAGAGGACTCTTCCCCTTTTCCCACTTTCCCAGGATCTCAGTTGGAGTTGTTGGGCTGAAATCAATCCAGACAAAAAAATGGCCCAAATGGCGAAATCGGATGCTTCCGCTTTCTTCATCCAAAGCTCAAGGTATTCGCGCCATTTCTTGGAGACCGTTGCCCCTAGTTCAAACCGGAGTAGTGTTGTCTTCAACTCATAACCATCACCGTCTTCTTCAGCCACTTAAGACGGTCGAGCCAAGTCCCCAAGATCCCGAAGCTCCACAACAATGGCGTCGTGGTGGCCGCCAGGGAGCCGCTCTCTCCCTGCTTAGAGGGTAGAAGCTCTCCTGGAAGGCCGTCTTGCCTTCGCGAGCGTCCCCTCTCTCCGGGCGGGCTACGATCTTTCGAGGCGAAAAACGTGACCGTAAATTTTACTTTCCTTAGAGTCTCAAATTCGGTCCTTGTTGAGAAGTTGCGATGGTTTCTGAAGGTGGGTTTCTTCGTTTGTGGATTAAAAACATTGCGGCTGCGACGAAAGTGCCGGGGAGAGGATAAGCGCTCGTCCCTACCGATCTGAGCATCACAATGCCCTAAGGCACATTTGCTCAAATAGGTAATGTGCAACTTCTTACCTCAAAAGATTCTTTCAATACCTTGTTTTGGATAATCGATCAGGGCTGAATCAAATCGCTTGTACATTTGTTGCTTCAGCATCAGGATCAGGTTTGGCATGCAAGCATTCGATCAATGTCGGTGCGGGTGTGATCGATGCGGACTACAGAGGCCCGATTGGGGTAATCCTGTTCAAACCACTCGGCCGTCTACTTTGAAGTGAAGGTGGGCGACAGGATTGCGCAGCTGATCATTGAGAAGATCATGACTCCCGATGTTGCGGAGGTCAAGGACCTGGACTTGACTCTGAGAGGCACGGGCGGGATTGGGTCGACAGGGGTGCGAGGCTCGTGTGCTAGGTTTCGGCCATCGACTTTGTTCTCTATAAGTTTATTTTCATTGGGTTTTAGGTTGTGCCTGGGATACATGCAGGTCTGGCAGGCGGATTATCTTGGTTCGAAATCTCGTCGAACTCTTGGTTCGTAAGTATTTGCTAATTGCTATGTGCTCAGTCACGCTTTTGAAGTATCTCCTTGTGCTCAGTCTCTCTCCGTTTAATTGTGTAATTTGGGTCCCACTTTTCGAGTTGCCAGTTTGTGTGATGAAGCCTTACGATTTATTCTTTGTTGTGCACTCATTGTCCTCCATCAAATCTCTGTATCAGTTAAACTTTTTTGCTTTGTTTCAGTAGGTCTGCACAAGGTATATTACAGAAGCTGCATGATTTGATATTTATCTGTATTGTCCTTTTAGTATAACTAAGGCCAAATGTTTTGGCATTTTCCCAGGCATTTCATTTTGGGAAAATGATAAAAAAGCTGAAATCTTGCGCCTTGGTTATGTAAGTAGAGAGTTAATTCGATATTGTTTTTATCATATACAACTAGTGGAGAATGCTCACTTGTTATATTCTGCATACAAACCCGTTCCATTATGGGGTACCTCCCATTTCAGGGATCGAATGCACACATTAGCCCCTGCAATTGGGTGGACAAACAGAGTTTTACCCTTTCCTAAATTACTGGCGTAGAGTCTTCAAAGTGATGGCATGAGTTCTAACGTTATTGTCTTTACTTAACTGCAAATACATCCCTTGACTTTTTCATGTCAGCTGCAGAGTCACTCCTATCATTCTCATTTTTGCAATTAACACTTCAACTTTTTAAGCGGTTGAAAATCATCTCCAAGACTGCTGTCCATCCAAAACGGCTCATTTTAATAATCTCCTCCTTTTGTGTGACATGAAGTAATTAGCAGTGTAGCACAGTGCCATTACCTTGTGTACTTCTTTCATCCTTCTGTCTTCCTTCTTTTTACTGCCGTCATCTGGTTTTGCATTCGCTTTGTTCTCTTCTTTACTTTTGCCCTAGATTCTTCTCTAGTTAACGTTCTCAAGAGGTACGAGAGCTTCTTCAGTGATGTGGTTCTGTTGTGGGGATGCTCGTGCTTTTGTTTTCTACTTTTGAGCTCATTCTCCCTTTTCAAGATAACATACAGGTGTCAGTACCGAAATAAAGATTAAGAATCTATCATTTTAGACCTTAGTTTTCTGTAGAGTCTTATGATCATCGGTCCAAATTATGGTCCAATATCAATAATTTGAGATCGATCTTAACAACCTTTACCTCGAGGGTTAGATTTATATGTACTTATACTGCATGGGTTGCCTCCCATATGTATACCGATTAGATCTTGAACTGTCATTTTGTGTAGCTGTGACATACCATCGACATATAACTATCTGGAAAACGAATCTCCTTGGAATATCTATATGGGAATTGGCTCTAGGCAATCTGTAGAGATGCAAGATCTCAGGCCTGGTGCTTGTGCTCTAGAATCTAGTATGGTGGAATCCTCTTCTATTTCTCACCTTGTGTCCTTGGATTTTTCCCCATGATTGCCCCAAATTTTTAGTTCTTGTCTACTCATGTATAAATCACATTACTTTTTTTACATGTCTAGTTCAGGATACGTTTCATGATTTGTCCTTTGTGGGGATATTTATGTGCTTGTGCTATTTGCAAGTTTTCAATTGGCTGGGATCCTCTTGATAGAGATACTGTATTTGTATTGCACCTTGCCATTATCCTTTGCGGTTCTTTTTTGACTATATTTTCATTCTATAGTGAAAAATTTTCAGTGCTGTTAATCAAATAGTTTAACTCAGTTTTAATTGTGCTCTCGACATTTATCGGATGGTGACATACGTGTTGCTATTTTCTTATCAACAGGCTTTGACAGCAATGGTGCAGCAAACTATGCAATATATTGACCCGACACCTGATCTTGAGACCAAGATAGAGCTTATCAAGACACTTAACTCTGTTGCCGCTGGGAAGGTGAATATGTGAAATCAAACTTCATTGCAGCTTATGTTAATGAGCAATCTGTTTTTATTTTGTGGTTTCTATAGCCCGTTTCATTATGCAGATATATGTCGAAATTGAGAGAGCCCGGTTGAGCAAGAAACTCGCAAAAAAAAAAAAGAGGAAGAACAGGGTCTTATAGCAGAAGCCGCTGATTTGATGCAATAAATTGCAGTACCTAGAAGTTGACTTTTGTTGTCACTGATCTTGTAATTGATTTTTCCTTGTCCAACATTCCTATGATGGGTTTGAATTGCAGGAAGAAACTTTTTGAGCAATTACAAAGACGGAGAAAATTGCCTTTATCCTCGAACAAGTACGGGGTTTTTGGTATTGCTTTTAGCCGTTTATGCACTATTACTATGATTGGTTTCTTGATCGATGGATTTTACAGGTTCATTTGTCCTTAAATTGCCAGGATTATGTCTGTGCACAGATCCTTTCCAGGATTAGCCGTTTATGCACTATGACTATGATTGTTATCCTGATCGATGGGTTTTGCAGGTTCATTTGTGCTTAGATTGCCAGGATTATGTCCATGCACAGATTTTATTCAATGAATAAAGGCTATTTTAATTTCTTCTCTTGGTCAATTAAATACAGCCAGATTTTAAAAATCGTTGTTGCCTACTTGCTCCTATTGGAATTTGATTCCCCTTCGAGAAGGACTCATATGTAACACTTTTGCCATTTTGCACGAACCAACCCGAATTAATATTCAATAAGGGCAATTTTCGTTGTTCATATCGCCAATCTACATTTATACAATGTTCCTGCAGATACGAGGAATATATTATAATCCGAGTTAGTTATCATGTATTAAGAATTTAATCAACTCGAGGCCTTATTTGGGTAAACGGTCTTATGGGAAAAAAGCAAGGCCGCCCTATATTCCATCCTTCCATACTTATGCTTCGATTTTCCAGCGGTATTGCCTTAAGGCTTTATTTGGGAAGGAGGAGAAGAGGAGGAAAATGAAGTAAATTTTTGTAACTTTTGTGAGAAGAAGTGGGAGGAAAATTCAAAATTTTTCTCTCCTCCTTTCCTTCATGTATCCAAGCAAAGCAGCTTTTCCTTTATCACGACGGTGCATGCTTGCTAAATAGACCACAAGCGTAGGGCAATTTATGCGTCGTTGCTAGCATAGGATTCATCATCAATTGGAATCACCAAACATTAATTTCATTCATCAAATGTATGGAACTTCACTTGACATCCAATTGATGCGCATCAGCCATTATCCACAAGATGCTCCGATGAACAATCGATGTGTCCATTTATGTGGCAAAACATGCCATGGAGACAAACATGTGAAGTTGGTCCTTGGAAGGCTGAGGTGTTGCACGACCTAGCAAATCCAGATACTATCCGTTTCCCTCGTCCTCCAGCTTGTGCTGTCTATTTTTTAATTTTCAAGAGAAGGAGGATATGATGGCACAAAGGAGATTATAGACCAACCAATGGACTAGTTTAAGAAAGAAAGGGATTCTACCACACCCACAGAGCTTGCTTCGAAACTGAAAGGAATAATAAGGGAGAGGGGTACCGATGGCCATGTGAGATTCAAGTTTCCAATTAGTACATTTTTAAAGTGCTTGACATTTTGGGCCTGGAATTTTCTATTTTTTCGTGGATTATCTTTTTGCAGGTCTGAGCCGACAGCTTTTGTATTCTCGTGAACGTTGGAGAATCATCACATTCAGTCCCCACATTCATAAAGTGGAGTAATGGGAGCACAGCAATTATTGATGGATGAGGTGACGAGAGTTTCAAGGAAGCTCCATGGAAAACCCATGGGAAGTTTCTTGCATCTTATGGGAGCAAATTCATGGTCACTTCATGACCCTTTCTGGTATGATTTGCCAAGTGATTTTCGTGGACAATGTCATGAAATTGAAACTGAAACCAGCTGAATGTGTAACATTTGAAAAATCGTAGCACCTAAATAGATTTGCCGTCATCCAAAAGAAACCAAACATTCATTTCGTCATTTAAATGGGTAACGCAAGAAAATAATTTCGTAGCGGGGTTTACACACAACGACATACATGCAATTTAACAACCGATGTTTAGGCAATGACCCATATTCGATTTTTACTTTTAGCAAGCATTTCCATTCCATATATAAAGTGATATTCTATTTGTTCGTGTAAACATCTATCTAGATATAGTTGCGATTTCTTTACGTAAAAATCCTCTTATGAAAATCTCAAAAGCCCATCCTAACTGTCTGATATGGGACTAGTTGTGAACAAATTCTTAGAATGGATTGCCCGACAAATGAATAAAGTTTAGCCCGACATTTATCAAAGTGAATAGATAAAAGGTCGGCCCACTACGAGCAAGAGCTATAAACAGTCTAGCATAAATTATGTCTGACGTGGAGTTCTCATAGGAGCGAAACGGGTTTCAATTATAGGTACAGGTAAGAGCAGGTGCTCCAAATGCATTTGTCCAAAGTCTTTAATTTATTTGACCAAAAAAATAAAGTCTTTAATTTAGCTATGGAAATGTTCATGTTGATCCTCCACGACCTCTACCGAAATTCACTACTAAATTCCATAGATTCGCTGCTCAGTCTCACCAATTCCCCAAACTCCTTGCCCAGCCTGTGCTTCACCTTACATTCCCCTTCCGTTTTAGCATGCAGCAACGTTATCCTGGTGTCATGCTCGCTTCACCTTCCCATTACAATTCCCCGAAGATTCCATTTATTAATGGAAAAGCAAGTCAAGCCGTACTGGAACTCCAATTTCAATCAAAGCACCAGCGTAGGTTGCACGCAGTGGCACCTTCCGCTTAATGCTGACGAAATTACGCTTGCAATAACTCAGCATATTTCAAGTAGTCGGCATCGTTCAAGCGCGCACAGTTGAAAACGCAAAGACTTTTCTTTTTTTTTGGTCCGTAGAAAAAGCAAGGACTCGGAGCATCTTTATTGCAAGTTGGTTTTCTTTTCTACTTTTTTGTTAAAAGGAAAAGCAAGTCTAGTCAAGAAGCCCTTGCATAGCTTCCCCGCAACTTCCGCATAATGCTGCGAATATTACGCGTGCAATAACTCAGCATTCTTTAAGCAGTCGGCAAACATCATTGTTCAAGCACGCACAGTAGAGAGTGTTGTGTGTTGGTAATCCAACGTCCAAGGCTGAGGATCGGGAGAGATCCCAGCAGTGGGTGGGTTGTGTTGTTTGAACACTCCTCAGGTAGTCGACGACTCCTTGCCCTTGTCCGTTTCCTGCTTTGATTGCTCCTTTTTTTTCTGATGACTTGTCTGAGAGTTTCTATTGTTGTTTGAATGTAGATCTGAGTTTCAGTCCTGCGAGACATTTCTGCTATTCCCAGATCTGGGAATCCATATATCTCCCCTCTGTTTCCTTCTCCATCAATCTCTTTTACAATCCTCTCAGAGATGACAAGAAAAGAACCCACTCATTCAGAATATCCAATCCACGAGCCCGCTTCCTCATCGACCTCTCCACATGTAGGTGATTATGAAGGCAGAACCAAAAGGCCGAAGGGAAATGATTACGAAGTGTTCTTGAGCTTCAGAGGGGAAGATACTCGCAAAGGCTTCACCGATCATCTCTATCATAACCTTGACCATGCAGGAATTCGCGTGTTCAGAGACGACAATGAACTCCGTGTTGGTGAGGAGATTGGTTCGGAGCTTCTCTGCAGTATTATGAATTCTAAGATCTCGATTCCGATTATTTCAAAGAACTACGCTTCAAGCAAATGGTGCCTTCGCGAGCTGGCTGAGATGTTAAAGTGCAAGAGAAGTAAAGGGCAGATAGTGTTGCCCATATTTTACAAAGTAGAACCCTCACAGGTGCGACATCCTACTGGGAGATCAAGAGATGCTATCAATGCACATAAAAAGAATATAGACGAAATGATTGTGAAGAAATGGGAAGAAGCACTTAAAGAAGTCAGCTCCTTGAAAGGATGGGTATCGGAGAAAATTGATAACGGGTACCCTATACTCCAACGAAAAAATTGTTTAATTTTTCATAAATAGATCTTTCTTGAAAAGAATGTACATATTGCTATCCTATACTGATCTTCATTGTAATTTGACAGGCATGAAGGAACATTGGTTGAAATTGTTGTCAAAAAAGTTATGGGCGAGCTAAAAGGACTTTTTCAGCTAAATGTCCCTGAATTGTTGGTGGGAATTGATGATCATGTGCAAGAGATTATGAGCAAGATAGATGTTGAATTCAAGGGTACAACAATTATTGGAATTTATGGAATGGGCGGCATCGGTAAGACAACTCTTGCAAAAGTGTTATACAACAGACTCTATAGTCATTTTGACTATCGTAGCTTCATGGCAAATATCCGAGAAACATTTCGGCGTAAGGGTATTGAATGCATACAAAAGCAACTTATTTCTGACATAATAAGAATTTCGTATGATGTGTCTAATGTCGACGAAGGAGTCAGTGTCATCAAATCTCGTTTTGCCAGTAAGAAAGTCCTAATTCTTCTGGATGATATGGATGATAGTACTCACTCGAATGCTTTGGTTGGGGATGGTAGTTGGTTTGAAGCGGGAAGTATAGTCATCATCACAACTAGAAACCAAGGCATTCTCGATGAAGGTTGGGCGGGCTACATGTACCAACTCAACGAGTTGTCATTGGATCAATCATTGATTTTATTTAGTAGACATGCATTTCGAAAGGATTCTCCTCCGAGTGATTATGAGGATAACTCTCGTGATATCGTATCTACTACTGGGGGGCTTCCATTAGCTGTTGAAGTTATAGGCTCTTTCTTATGTGGAAAGAGAGAAGAAGTATGGAAAGATACATTAAAGAAATTAAAGAAAATGCCCGATAAGAAAGTGCAAGAGAAGTTGAAAATAAGTTACGAAGCATTAGATGACGAGGAGCAACAAATATTTTTGGATATTGCATGCTTTTTCATTGGATCACATGAACAAAATCCAACTTACATGTGGGACGCCAGTAGTTTTCTCCCAGGGAGGGGGATTGAAGTATTGAGTTTTATGTCCCTAATTAAAATTGACGAATACGGCCATCTAATGATGCATGATCAACTGAGAGATCTTGGAAGGGAAATTGTTCGTCTAGAAAATTCGAAGGAACCTCAAAAGCGTAGCAGATTATGGAATTCTGAGGAAGCCGTAGATGTGATTGATGGAAACAAGGTAAGAGTTTTCTCAACTTGTCTTAGTGATTGTGGTTCCATCATCCCTTTCTTGTTTGAAATAAAAATAGTTGTCGGTCTTGCCTCCCCAAAACTAGTTGCTTCTACTAGCAAAAGAGCTATTTTGATTAATTTCTGTCTTTGCCTGATTCTGGAACATAATTGAGGAGCAATTTCTTGGTTGTGGATGAATGATATACATCTTGGCCTGGAAGTATTGCGATGAGCATACTCTCCGTTTGGTAACTTTAATGCAATAACAAAACTACAAAAGCAAAATGTTTGACAGATTGCTATTAGAGAAAACCTGGCATTTATAAATTGTTGTAGCCATGCTTTTCCCACATATCTATTTGATGCATGTGTTTGATGTTTGGATTCGTCTTTGGGTTTCTTGTGAGGCCTTTTATTTATTTATTTATTTTTACTAAGTATTGACTTATTGAATTGTTTCGTATGATAAATGAGACTTCCGGTATTTTTTAAGTTGGGTTAAGTGTAACCCCTAGTATTATTGGTTGTGCAATTTAGTCCCCCATCTATGTTTGCTTTTGCTCAATATAGTCTTCAAACTTTCACTTTTTTGTGCAATCAAGTCCTTTGTGGTCAATTTGTTGATGTGGCATTTGCATTTATTAATGATATATGAGCAACCAAGTAATATCACCCTTTAAACATATATTATTTTCATTGTATAGGCTTTTCAAGCTAGTGGATAGTTTCTTTCTATGAATTTGCTAATACCTTTTCTTTTTGTGACGATGGATGATTTTTCTATTAATCTCCCGATATTATTTATTCGCTAAATATAAGCTATCATGTTATAATAATAATTTGTTTATTGTTCAATTCTTAGTGAGCATCTTATTTAGCAAAGATTTAGTTAACTTTAATAACATCATCTTATTTTTGTGAAACGAAAACTAGTCTGAGGTAAATGTGACACGGGTTTACCAGTTTGAGATTTTTTGTGACATGAAAATTAGTGAGGGATAAATGTGGAACAAGTCTACCAGTTCGGGATTTTTGGTATTATTAACCGAAGTAAATATAATTTTGAATTTTGTGTGATGATAACTTTTCATTATTAGCATGCAAGTCAAGGGGTAATCCGCTAAAAGCAATTATAACATAAGGATGATTTGTACAAGTATCAAACAAGCATGTGCAAATGTCATGAGTATCGTTAATCAAGAAAAACTAAACATAAACATTGGGATGCAAAACATAATGAAATAACAAGACTAGAAAAAAAATGCTACCAATGCTTTTCAGCGAGCATATTTTCGCACGAAGGAAAATGTAATAAACTAAATAGGACTTTGCTTAGAAGTGAAAAAAAAAGGTGTCTATGAAGTTGTTGACAAAATTACAATAAATTTACAAGAAACTTATAATGTGAAAACAAGTAGTGTCTCATCTGAAAGAATAAAAGTTTGAAGGAAAAGTTGAAACCACCAAACAAATCCGTACTATAGACTCTCATGATTTGTGCTCAATGTGCAATCACCTAAAACAAAAAACGAATTTGAGTTCCTAAAATATTAGGTTACAATAAAAGAAAAATGTAAAAGACTAGAGTTCCTTAAGAACACAATCATATCGATCTTCATGTCCAATCTGTTCATATGGAAGATCTCATTAATCTATGGGAAAATTGATCAAAATTTAGATGACTACTACTACACTGTAACAAAATCAACACGACAATGAAAAGATAGCGTCAAACATCTATAGTAACAAAGAGAAAGTAAGAATCGTGTATAGAACATTCGATATTATCAATTTTCCTTCCACGTACAATGCAAAACCCTCAATGAAGAAGCACATGATAAGAAAGGAACGTAAAACACATGCGTACCTTTTGCGATGACATTCTCGTTTTCATTTTGATATTTAGAATTGCAAACGAAGTATACTAGAAAGAGTGGGGGGATTCTACAATTGGGATTCTTTAATTTTGATACATGTTTTGAGGGAAAGTTTGATGGATGCATTTGGACTATTAGAGTCGTATTGGTTCACATATACAGGATAGGAGTAAATGTAGTGTTATTTCACATATGAATGGCATGAATTTTGATAGATATATTTGAATTAGTGTATGCATGAAGAGAGGCCTTCTATTGTAGTTGCAAATGGATGCAAATTTTGGGAATTCGGAAGGTGCAAATTGCGAAGGGCATAGTTGGAAGAGGAAAACTTCCGGAACAACCGCTCGAGCTTCCCATCTTTACATAGATTAGATAAATAGTATGCAATCACAACATGTCATTTCACAAAATTTAAAGGAAGAAGCCTACGCCATGATAGTATGACAGCAAATTGAAATCAGTGCATTTTATTTTACATCAGTTGATCTCGTCTCATCATTCAAAACTTATGGTCCACAATGTTTCCAAACTGTAGGGCACTAGAAAGATTGAGGCACTTTCTCTTGGCGAATGTGGTAAGGGAAGAATATACACAGCCGAACAATTTAAACAAATGACCAACTTGAGGTTCCTACTAGCGGATGGTATGAATTTCACCGGAGATTTCCAAAGCTTACTTCCTAAATTAAGATGGCTTCAGTGGGCGGGATGTCCCTCGGATTTTACGGCGACCAACTTTCATCCGAAGAAGTTAGTTGTACTCGATCTGTCAAGCAGTGATATTTCGGAGGACTGGGGAGGATGGGTTCAACTCAAGGTAAGACGTAAAGAAGGCATTGAAGTATTTTCAATATAATTTTTTTTCCTTGTACGTATAACATTTGAAAATTGATTTTCATAATTAGACTAGTCGTTTCTCTTTAATCTCATACTATTGAAGGAATACATGGCGCCCAATGAATTCATCTCTCTTCCATTTGAATTAGTCATTTGCTATTTGATAATAAAAGTTGCTTCTATTTAATCAATAAACATTTCCTTTGAAGTGTTATTCAGAAATATATGCAGTCGGCACTTGTATATCCCCAACATTCTTTTGCAATTGATATGCTTAAAAAATATTTATATGTTGGCGTAGCCAAACACTACTAAAAGAGACATTTAGAATTTAAATAAGACAACCGTGATGGAGTCGGGGAGCATGGGTATTTTTTGAGGAATTCTAAAAGGTCAAAAAAATAAGGAGTAGTGAAAAATCACAGGCTGCCAGAGTCCAATGACATTGAGGTACCATTTCTTTTTTTCAGATGGCAACCAAGCTCAAAGTTCTCAATCTTGAGAATTGTCTATCTTTGAGAAGAACTCCCGACTTGTCAGTTTTCGAAAGCTTGGAGATTTTGATTCTTGCAGATTGTGGGAATTTGAAAACGATTCATCCTTCTATTGGGGACATCAAGACCCTCGTTTCCTTGGATGTCTCTGATTGTAGAAGACTTCAGAAGCTACCGGCAGGAATAGGTAGAATGGTAAAATTGAGGGATCTTTGCATTAATGGCACTCATATACAAAAGATTTCTATTTCGAGAGATTGTTTGATGAAGCTGGAGACTCTATGTGCCACAAGTTGTGAACGACTTTCTCAACTTCCTAAATCTATGGGCTCCCTTGTCTCATTAACTCTATTGGACTTATCTGATTCAGCAATTGAAGAATTACCTGAATCCATTGGTTCTATGAAGAAGCTCGAGACTTTGGATGCCTCTGAATGTAGACTGTTAGCTCGCATACCCAGCTCCATAGGCAAGCTAGCATCCCTACAAAGCTTGTTCTTACGTCGCTGCTCCTCATTGACAGAGATCCCCGACTCGATTGGAAAATTGGCATCATTGATTGAGCTGGACTTAGGATACACATCGATTACGAAATTACCCGAAAGCATTGGGAATATGCCAAATTTGAGGATGTTGGACATAAAGAGAACTAACATAACAGAATTGCCTGATGCCATCGGGAAGTTGGCAAAACTCCAAAGGTTGGGAGCTGGAGTATGCAAAAAACTAGAACGACTTCCTAGTAATATATGCGAATTGGTTTCGCTAGAGAAGCTTTCTTTAGAAGGTTCAGGCATTTTGAGCTTGCCAGAAAGCATTTCTAAGCTCTCTTCTCTCCAAGAGCTCAATGTTTTGGTTTGTGAAAACCTCCGAGAATTACCAGAACTGCCCTCTGGCTTAACAAATCTAAGGATCACCTGCCAGAGTCCGCAGTTGCCCCATCTTTCCCATCTAACCCGTCTCAAGGAACTCGATCTTTGTAGTTGCCCCTGGCTTGAACGTGTCCCAGAGCTTCCCATTGGACTATCGCAGCTAAATATTATGAATTGCAGAAAATTGAAAGCATTGACGAATGTGTCAAACTTGAAGCACTTATCAAATTTGACTCTCCGCAGGTGCTTTGATCTCGCAGAAATCACCGGCTTGGAAGGTTCACATTGCCTATCCAACTTACATGCGGGGCAATGCTCTAAGATATCTAGGGTTGATGGGATTGAAGATTCTTCGACGTTGATGAGCCCAAAGGCATCTCCGCTTGATGGATCGCTAGATCTTTCCGATTCAAAGATTCCGCAGAGAATAGATGTCATAGCAAGTTGTGCGAATTCAGTTGAAATCCAAGACCTTGGTGGATCAAAATCCTCTCAAGTGTCGGATATCCTTAAGTGCACGTCCGCCGGACGATTGCTAGACTTTTCCGGTTTTAAATACCTGAGAAGCCTTTCTGTTGAGAATTGCAATAGTATAACTGAAATTCAAGGCCCCGATGGATCAGAATCCTTGACATTTTTGTTTATTAGCCGGTGCTCTTCCCTTAGATCGGTGGACCTCTCGAACTTAAAGAATCCGCAGGATTTTCATTTTTACCAGTGCGAAAATTTAGTTGAAATTCGAGGGCTCGAGGGATTAAGACCATTGCAACTTTTCCATATTTATGGATGCCCGTCTCTTAGACAATCACCGGACCTGTTGCGTTTAAATGCGTTGGTGTTGTAGGGGTGGTGTCGAAGGGGGGATCCGCAGAAGTGGAGGTGGGAGGTGGGAGGTGGGAGGTCGGAGGGAGGTGGTCTGGGCCAGTGGGGGGGGGGGGGAGGATCACACAGACAGAAGAAGGTGTTTCGGATCTCCTCCCATTTTCTCTTCCCATTCCCTCATTTATTATTCTTTCTTTTCTCTTCCTCTTTTCTCTTTTTTTTTTATTCCCCTGCCTCAACTTTTTTGTTTACTTAACCGTTTCGTTTTCTCTCTCATCATCAGTTGCGTTCAAGAGAAGGAGAGGGAGGGAGGAAACGGAAGAAAGAGCAGAAGTTTTCGCGACTGAGGGACGGGGTTCACCGAGTCCTCTCTCGTACGTAAAAAAGCGATGGGTGCTGGCAGACTTGTTGCCGATTCCTCGAGCTCGCCTTCCGATATCCAGGAGCGGATCGAGATTGGTTAGTTCCTCTTCTTCTGATCGAATCGTCCTTTACTAGCAATTGTCCAATTTCTGATGCTTGATTCGCCTGCCTGGTTACTTCTTCTTCTGCTTTTTCCTCTAATGATGGAAAGGTTGGGGTTGATGATGTTCCTGCGGAAGTCTAATGGTTGCGCCTAAATATGTAAACAGCGAAGGGATGGCCTGGTGATATCCTTTCTGGAAGGGTACTTGTGTTTACTTATGTAGTGAAATTGCTTGATATCGGCGAGTCTTCATCACCTAAGTAACACAAAGTCAGTTTCCACCATAACCCCTTAGCTCTGGAGGAGACAGCAAACTCAATTGATAGAAGTTTTCAGGGTTTTGGTGAATTCAGTACTTGGTGCTCCTCTTTGTTTTTATTCCGGTCAATAGATCTGTTTTAGGATTTGAATTATCTTGTATAGGGATGGATTCTTTTTACATAATAAAGAAACCTGGGGGACAACAAATTGAGATTGGGTGCCGGAAGGGGCGATTCTTTATACCGGGAGTAAGAATAACCTTTTATTGCTAGAGTTGGAAGTGGGCTCTACCTTCATGAGAGCTTGGGTTGGGGTAAATGGAAGGTCTTCTGTGCCTCCGCAAACAGCAGTGCAGCACAATGCCAACACCTTTGTACGGCAAGCATCGTTTATGGCTGGGGACGGAATTCTTTTTTACGTAATAGTGTATAGCTCTTTATTTTTTCTATTTTTTTCGTCCTCCTGTCTTCTTCTTTTCACTGCCATCATCTGGTTTTGTGTTTGCTTTATTCTCTTCTTTACTTATGCCCCAGATGCTTCTCTAGCGAACTTTCTTGAAGAGGTACGATAGCTTCTTCACTGATGTGCTTCTGCTGTGGTGATACTCATGTTTTTGTCTTCTGCTTTTGAGAGCTTCAGTCCCTCTTTTCCAAGATAACATACAGTTGTTAGTACAGAAAGAAGATCAAGAATCTATCAATTTAGACCTTAATTTTCTGTAGAGTCTTATGATCATTGATCCAAAGTATGGTCCAATTTCAATCATTTAGGATCCATCCTAACAACCTTTACCTTAAGGGTTAGATTTTATATTGCTGGGATTGCCTCCCATATGTGTACTGATTAGATCATGAACTGTCGTTTTGTGTAGCTGTGATATGTCATCTATGTATAACTATCTAAAAAACGAATTTGCTTGGCATATCTACATGAGAATTGGCTCTAGGCAATCTGTTGGGATGCAAGTTCTCAGGCCTGGTGCTTGTGCTCTAGAATCAAGTATGGTGGAATCCTCTAGAATCTAGTATTGTGGAATCCTCTTCAGTTTCTCACCTTGTGTTTCTGGATTCTCTCCCGTGATTGCCCCAAATTTTCACTTTTTATTCTCCTATTCATTTATGAATCGCGTTACTTTTTTTTCATGTCTAGTTCAGGATACATTTCATGATATGTCCTTTATGGGGATTTTATAGTGCTTGTGCTGTTTGCAAGTTTTCAAATGGCTGGGATCCTCTTTATAGAGATACCTGTATTTGTATTGTACCTTGCTATTGTCCCTTTTGATTCCTTTCTTGACCATATTTTCATTCTAGAGTGACAAATTTTCCGTGCTGTTAATCAATAGTTCAAATCTAAGTTTTAATTGTGATCTAGACATTATCAAGTCATTCACTTGATTGGCTAGTGACCTACATGTCGCTGTTTTTTTATTGCCAGGCTGTGACAGCAATGGTGCAGCAGGCTATGCAATATGTTGACCAGACACCTGATCTTGAGACCAAGAAAGAGCTTATTAAGACACTTGACTCTGTCGCCACTGGGAAGGTGAATTTGTGAGATTAAACTCTGTTGCAACTTATGTTCATCAGCTATCTGCTTTTGTTTCGCGGTTTCTTAGCTAGTTTCGTAATGCAGATATATGTCGAAATCGAGAGAGCACGGTTGATCAAGAAACTTGCAATAGAAAGGAAGAACAAGGTCTTATAGCAGAAGCTACTGATTTGATGCAAGAAATCGGGGTAACTAGAAGTTGACTTCTGTTGTCACTGATCTTGTAATTGGTTTTTCGTTGTCCAACATTCCTATGATGGGTTTGAAATGCAGGTAGAAACTTTTGGAGCAACAGCAAAGACGGAGTAAATTGCCATTATTTTTTAACAAGTAGGGGTTTTTTGTATTGCTTTTAACCGTTTGTACACTATTACAATGATTGGTTTTGATCGATGGATTTTGCAAGTTTGTCTGTGCACAGATCGCCAGGATTATGTCCGTGCACATATCCTTTCCAGGAAGACCAACCCCCGAGTGTTTGATGCAGATCCTTCCAAAGAGAAGAAAAAGCCTAAAGAAGGTGAAAACATTGTGGAACAAGCGCCAGCTAATATACGTGAGTCATCGTATTCCGTCTCTTCTGGAGTTGAGATGGATATACCATGACTCATAATACGGCAAATTGGTGTTTTGCTTTTTCTAATGTTGTGTCCACTTTCTTTCAACTAATTTGTTTTTGCCGATCAAGTGCCACCTGGTATTCAGGCTGTGGTTCAAAACATGAACTTGTATGGCTTTATATATCTGGCACATACTCTTCTTCCTTTCTAGCTTTATTGCAAACTCTGACGTTGCAGCTGTACTTGATGGATTTGAACTCACATCTCAGTTTACCTCGCATTTATGTGGTTAACGATGTAGGTATTACTCACATAACAATGATTACCTTGAGATTTGTCTATACTATGAGGCGATATATGAGATTCTATCAGTAAAGGGCAACCCAGAGCAGTGGATACTGGTGAAGCTCTTTCCTTGTTAAGTCGTCACTGAGTTTTTCAAGGCACAGCTGTTCATTCTGTGATTTAATTATATGTAGGTTCTAAGGAAAATCTGCTGGTACTTAGTTCTATCACCACATGATCCTATGCAGTCAAGCCTTCATAATGCCACTTTAGACGATAAGCATCTCTCAGAAATTCCCCAATTCAGGTACTATCTTTGAATTGGTCTAGGAAATTGGTTGTACATCTTGCAATATCTCAATAATGTGCCATAGAACTTGGTTAACCATGCCTTTGATATTTTAAGGCAGGTTGCTGCTGAAACAATTGGTCACGGCGGAGGTTATCCTATGGCCTCCTCTTTAAAGTACTTTCAAAGATGAATTTGAGAATGAGAAAACATGCTAGGAGGTGCACTTGTTAAGAAGGTAGCAGAAAATCTTAGACAGGGCCCAATCATAGTCAATAGAAGAATTTCGGCTTCTTATGGGCGAGACAAGCAACCTTTGGCTGGGAGCCTCTTCAAAGAATCAACATGTAATTACAGAACTTTGTCATTTTTCTTCTTTTCATTGGATCATCATTCAGATGTGACTCACTCTATTTTCTGCAGAATATTATTGTCGTTTTGAAATACTACTCGAGGATTACCTTAAAGAGACTTGCAGAGCTGTTATGCCTCAGTATCCAGGTCTGATTATGTGGAACATTTGTTGATGTTCTTTATCAATGTCACTCTTTATGAATGATTACCTAGACCCCTCATTTAACCCTGAGCAGCCTCTCTGCCTGTGATCCCTGATTGGGGCATGGTTGCTGCACTTGGATATAAGTTCCAAAATGTGTGTAAAAGAGGTTTTGGTGCGATGAAAGCCGAAGGCTTGTCATGAATTTGAGAATGTTGTCTTCATAGTTTTGTTTCATAAACATTTCTGACCGACATATATGTGTACACTTGGTTTAGTCAACTTCTACTCATAAATTTGTTGTAGCTGTAAGTGTCATTGTCTGGCATTGTGAAACCATTTCTTGTTCCGTGGAGCCTGAAATTCTAATGCGCTTTTTCTGCTAGTATTAACACTTACCATTTCCAGTGTTCAGAAAATCTTTATAGCTGAATCACTCAAGGAAAGAGCTCTTTTTTGGGTTCTCTTACTGCTGTTGTTAAGAGCTTTAATCAATCACATGCCTCAATTTATTGTTAAGAGCTTTAATCAATCACATGCCTCAATTTATTAAATCAATACTATCATCTGATAGACAGTCCATATAATGATAAGTATACAAGCTCGTATGATATTCTATCCGCATGACCTCTTACTTCTATATTACCATTTTAGGAAGCTGAGAAGCATCTCTCCTTAATGGTTGTTTCCAAGTCCCTGGTGGCAAAGATAGACTGACCAATGGGAATTGTCAGTTTCCAAATGATAAAGGACAGCAATGAGATTTTGAACTCGGGTGACAAATTTGGAAAAGCTGCTCGACCTTGTCAAGAAAAGTTGCCACCAAATCCCCAAGGAAACCACGGCTCATAAGGCTGCTTTGAGAGCTTGATGATGTTTTTAGTTGAATGAATGATCTCTCTCCCCTTGAGCCTCCCTCTCTCTCTCTCTCTTACCGAAGAATGCTGTTTCACATTGTGGTCTGAAGTGGGGACCGGAGATATTCACCATGGAACTCTTACGTACCCGTCTTAAATTTGATTGCATATTTTGCAGGGTGACCAGATGCGGGCCTTGTTTCGGACTGAAATGATATATTGAATACACTTTCTGTATAGGAATGTAGTTTGGTCTTTTCATCTTTCTTGTTTCCTCTTTCCCCCCTCCTTTTAATTGAAGATTTGTGGGCTTTCAGGGTCCAGAACTTGTACCAATGGAACAGTCGCAGCACGAGATGTGCACTCATTTGGACTAAAATAAGCACCTTGTTACAGAATTGTGTTTCGCATGACAAATATTGCTGGTGCTTGTGTTTTTCTAACGTCGGAGATAACATTAGCTCTCCAGATTAAAGGCTTAATGAATGCTACTTTTCCATTTCATTTCACATTCGAAGTGAGCACCTGTTTCTAGGGAGCTTCATTTCAATATGATAACTGCACTTTTTATTTCCTCAAAGGACGTGATTTTTCTCCAAGTTGATACTTGATACGGAATGGACCTTGTCCTATAGATTTCCAACTCCTTCATTTTCTTCATGGAAACTGAAAAAATTGGGAAAAGCTGTGGCCACTACATCTTTTTGCTGTGGAAATAGTTATGCCCACTAAGCAAAAAGCACCATTTTACTTTCTTCACAAAGTAAATGTATTTGTCATGTTTTTTAAACAATGCGACCGTTAAACTTACTTAGCATAAGTGAGACAAAGAAAACGAGTGATTCTCAATGTAGTAACTTTTCTCGTTCTTTGTGCCGCTCAATGCTTTGGAAATTACATCAATCATCATAAGATACATTTAAAAGTTATTCTTGAAGTCCTCGTTAGCATATCAATTATTCATGAGAAGTAAATAGTTTTTCAAATCCTACATTCAAGAATGACGTGGTAGTGCCTGCTTTTCCTGACTGCTTGAATTGGGTTTTCATCATTCTGGTATAATTCAACTGCAACTCTTTTGTCTGTTCTTTTATGACTGCTCAAAGTAATTTAATGATTAACATGTGAATTATTAAGGAAGCTTGTGGAGGCAAAGTACAAAAACACTTAGGCAAAGGAGAGAGATCCTTCATCCTGCAGAACCTCCCATTGTATAAATCAGTTGCCTTTGCTCTCGAAAAAATTGCAGTCGCAACTGCGAGAGCTAAGACTGAGTTTTTGTGCTAGCCATTTTGGCCGGGCTTGTGTTATAATTTCAGGTTGAGGTCGCCCTTAGATCTCCATGCTTTCTCTTCTTTGTCGAAGGTGCGGTTTTCGAGCGCAAACATAGGTGGTAAGCAAATGTCGCGAACGATGCACATGGACTGTGTAGCGAGTCACTAGCTTTGTTCCTTCGACTTAGTACAATACTTTCTGAGTGGTTGGTGAGCGAGACTGTGATCGAAAATGAAGGAAGCAGGTGTGAATCGTTCATTCTCTGTCAGAATGACGCATTCACATCCGTTTCTTGATGGAGTGAAATTAGTCGATTCTAAAATGTTGCTCGAACGGATTGGGAGATGGCGTGGGAATGAACGCGGCACCGTTAAGCTCAAACCATTTGCATTTCTTTAGTCTTTCCAAAGAAAAGAGAAGAGCCGTGACTCAGAAAAAGCATTTTCGGTCAATGTCATCTGAGAATCAGCCGAATTTGTTTGTACCAAGTGTCTAAACAGCTTAGAAAACTATGTTTCAGTGTGTAAGCTCAACATCTATACACTAACATCGACTCAGACATGCAAAATACATTCATGACGTACGCACCATTGGAAACGACTCACGACGAGAAGAGATCGGTGTTGCACCACACCGATCCTATATCTGCTCTTCGCGAATTCCACGGATAACTCGCACGATTGCCCACGAAGAAAGGGATCGGGGCAATTGTGAGTCTTCCCGAAGAAAAGAGAAGCACCGGGACTCGGAAGAGCCTTTTTGGTCGATGCCATTCGGGAATCGGGTGAGCTTGTTCGTACCAAGAGTCTGAACCTCAAGAGCTAGAAAACTATGTTTCGGCATGTAACCTCAGCATCTGTACATAAACATCTGCCCCGACATGAAAGTAGCATTCACGATAGATGAACCACTAGAAAACGACTCTCGCGAAGAGAGAAGATCAGTGTAGCATCACACCATTATATGCTCTTCGCAAATTCCATGGATAAATCGCGCCAACGGTCTTGTGTATACATACAAGATTGTGCAAGAAGCCTGCAACTTTTGCTAGTTGAAGGACATAAAATCGACCCATCTCCGGTCGAAGCTGGTCGGGAATGGTTACTGATTTAGTCCGCTACTTCTCGGCTTTTGGTATGAATTTCGTTCTTTTAGTTGAATACCAGAAATAGGGAAGATGGTAGTATGGCAGCGAGGGCGAGCGACGAGCAGAACTCTTATTTCTCATTTTTATTCTAGAAATAGAAAAGTTAAGAAAATTTTTACTTCTCATTTCTATTTCAAACCTATTTCCGAAATCAAAATCTGTTCCAGAAATAGAAAAATAAAATTGCGTTATCAAAACGAATTTCTATTTCAAACCTTTTCCTGGGAACACAGAAAAATAAAGAAATAGAATGGTTATCATGCGCGCCCTAAATTTCTAACCACCCTTTTGATCGATGAATTACACATTGCTGGCACCATTCACATGCAAAATCGACTAAATATAAAATGCGAACGGTGTCGATGGTTGCGGCCCACCAGTCGCCCTCAAGGAAAGGAAATTTCGGGCCTGTTTGGTTCGGCTTTTGGGGAATGCATTTGCATATATGGAAAATACCTTTGAGTTAAAGGGGTTTTTCGAAATGCAAGTAGTGTTTGGTAACGTGTATTTTAAATTCACATTTGAAAGCAACTTTGGTCTAAATACCGTTTGGTAAAAATTAATTTTGTGAAGAACTTTTGCTAATATTAAAAAAAAAAATCAAAGAAGGAAGAGCCATGGTAGCCGGTCGCCGCCAAAGCTCCGCTGCGGACTAGTCGCCGGCCAAGCTCCGCCGCGAGATCCGGCCGCCGGCTAGCCTCGCTCCCGAGGTCACACGACCTCAGCGTCGTCGCTGGGTTGCGCGACCCGCGACCGCTGCCGGAGGGTTGCGCGACCTCAGGCGGCGTCGCACCGGGTCGCGCGAGACCGCGACCGCCGCCGCCGGGTCGCGCGAGGCCCGCGATCGCCGCTTGGGGGTCGGCCGACCCGGCAAACGCCGCTCGGGTCGGCCGACCCTCAAGCGGCGATCGCTGGACGTCGGTCGACCCTCAGGCGGCGGTGGTCGGACCCCTCAGGCGGCGGTCGTCGGTCTCAGTCGGGAAGATGAACAGTGCA